AATTTGGGTGGTGCATTCAAGGTTCCAAAACACACTCATGCTAGCCTTTTGACCACAACAACCTATTCAATCGATCAATCGTCTTCCCACAAGCAACTTTGAGCATTTGACATTCATAATTGAGGGAATAGACTAATCAAAATGGGAATTGATGTGACCCCAATTAAAATTATGCAATGCATCCCCCCCCCCCCCCCCCCCACACACACACATGGGAGAAAGATGGGGCACGAATGTGTAGTCGGGGAGAAAGATGGGGCACAAATGTGTAGGTTTTCTGCGATCAAAAGATAATGGAACACAAAGCCAAACATGGAAAGGAGAAAAGAGTCATTAAGAGAGAAAGTAGGTATTAGTGCTAAAAAAACTGAAATCGCACATCTAAGATAGGTAGCAAAGAAAAATTAAACACACCAAAAACTAATATTCAAAATCAAAAAGTACTAAAAACGAAATCGTCAATAGTCCAAACTAGGAAGGAAAAAAAATATAAGGAATGACCCTGTAGTGCCATCTAGAACACGAGACTACTGCTCGTCTGAACTCTCATCATCACCATCCTCTTCCACAATGGTGTAGGGTCGCGGCGAAGGAGTGCGCTCGAAAGGGTGAGGAACCGTAGCTGGTCCAATCCATTCTTCCACATCAAGGCATACGCGCAATTAAGCATATGTCTCATCCACTAGGCATCCCTCTGCTTGTTTCTTAGGATGGTGTCAAGATCAGCAAAGGATGACTGGGAACCTCCGACATGAGATGTCTGAGGACGGCCGGACTGCCTAGTGTGAATGAGTTGGAACTCAGGCAAAACCTCACTCCCCACCGACAACTTCACATCCCAGGGTCGGCAGCCAGGATTCTTCATGACGTTCTCATAGAAGTCATGAGGAAAATGAAACTTGAACTCTGAGAGATGTAGGAGTCATGGTTAGCGATAAAATCTGGAGGGTAGATGTCCAGAGCGAAAGTGAACTCCCTCATCGTCATCTGTCGCTCAATCCCTCCCAAACTAAAGCTGATCAGGAGGTTATCTTCTATCGCAGCTCCCTTAACAAACTTGGTATGTAGGGTGAGGAACTCTAGTGTGAGGCCTCTATAAATGTAACACCCTAGTCCGGCCAGACACTAACTTTACCAAAGTACCCTTGATAAATCGTAATCCAAAATAAGAACTAAAAAGAGTTGGAAAAATAGCAAAAGCTTTCCATAAATAACTTAAACGTTTGTTGAAGTAAACTGAAACCTCTTAAGAGCAAGCCTTAACACTTGGGAAAACCTCAACCATAACATCTTAATATGAATCTCCAGTCTATACTCATAAACGTAAAGAAATAACTAAAACTCTACTTTGTTATCTGCTCGGATTCGATCTCTTGCACCTTTAGTGACAAATGTACTATCCTCCTCTAGCTGGCTTGCCTCGAACGGTTCCCTTGATCTCGCTGCTCTCTAATTGCTCTTCTAGCTAGCTGCTATCGATCTAGTTCTCGCTCATTCCTTTACTAAGGCCTGTTGAGTGAGTTGGGGTCAGTCTACGCCCTTACGTTTTACACTTTCTAATAATTTTGCACTTCTTCTAAAACACTTAAACTCAAACTGAGGGAAGTTGTTTGTACTTCCATTCTTAAAAATCTTAACTCTTGAAACTGTATGGGAGTAACTGTTACTCTCCATTCTTAAAGCTCAAATCTCGACTTAAATACTTGACTGACATGGGGATCCCTCACTAGCTAGTCCGGTTGCCAACTCATACGTACGAGAAGCCATCAAGGCTTTCCTTAAACTTAAACTTATCGTGGAAGGCTCTTCTTCCATGATTCTCAAGAGCATAACTGCTGCTCATCTTAAAAATCTCAAGAGCATAACTGCTGCTCAACTTAAATATCTCAAGAGCATAACTGCTGCTCTGTCTCAAAGATCTCAAGAGCATAACTGCTGCTCTATCTGGAAATCTCAAATGGCAACGGACTGGCACTAGCGACTAAAAACACTTAAAATGATTTCACCTTCTTCGTAGGTGAAGTATTTCTTAAAAGGACTTGTTCTTAAGTTTTAATAATGACTCATAAACGTAAACTTCAAAGTAAGAGATAAACTCAAACACCTTCACTTCAAATCATAGCTCAACCAAAGCACAAACTATCAAACATAATCATGCAATCTCAAACATGAATGAAACACTGCACATACATCACTTAAATCAATACTTGAAAATACTCAAGGCAAATATTTGAAAAACCGTAAGGCATAGAATTTACTCCCTTTACACTCACCTTACTTCCATTGGAACTGGCTCAGATTTTGCTCCAAAGTTTCCATACTCGCTTCCAAAATATCATCCCTATTACACTCGTACTTGCTTGAATAAAATGGAGCAGCTTGCTTGGCACAAATGGAATAAAATGGACCAGCTTGCTTTGGTCACTATTGTGAAGAAAGTTGCTCCTGTCCGCCCTCCATGCAATCTTCTACGACTAAGCATTAAGCAGGCAGCTCTTGGGTGTGGAAGTATTTTTGGGACGTCTGTCCCGTCCATCCAGGATGGCAATAACGACGAGACGAGCTTGCTTAAGCAAGCAGCTCTCGTGGTAGAGGGAAAAAGCAGCCTGATAATGCTCTCCATCTGCCCTCCATCGCCAGCACTCGTATTGGCCGCCATTCACATCTCAATTGCACTGCTCCGCTACTGAATCGCCTCCTGCTTGCTTAACCAGACATCTGACATAGTGGAGAGGTGCATCAATAATGGTCGTTCTGCTACTGCATCGCCTCCTGCTTGCTTAACTAGGTAGCTGACAAAGTAGAGGGGTGCATTGAGAGATAATCCAGCGAGCGGCGATGAGTCCAGCAAGGCGATGGACCCCATCCTTATTCCAGTTCCCTTTATCTGGGTCGACACTTCCCGACGGTGACTACTCCGGAAAGCTCTTTTTCCTCCTTCCACCACCCGATCGATTTCTTTCCCTTTGGCCGAGAGCGACTGCCGCTTGCTTTGCTGGGGTAGGAGTGCCAAGCTGCTGCCTTACGCGATGGTGGTGCGAGGTCGAGATGGGAACTGGGAGGTGGCAGTGGTTGTGATTGTCCACTGGTATTGTCCACTGGAATTAGGGAAAAGAAAGGGAGCTATATGCTCTCGTACATCTATAGGATTAGGTTTAGTGATTTATATATATATATATATGGATAAGGTGAACGTGTAGTGAGACCCAGTGGGTTAGGATTTAGGTTTTAAATAGTTGTAGTCCATTTTTGGAATTTCACGGGCGAGTTTAATCCGAAACTCGATTAACGTCTGTGGCTTTCTTATTTTATGTCAAAATTCGACACCGCTTGAATGGATAGTTCACATTTTTAGTCCTCCTCGACATTACAGTGGAATTTGGCAAATTTGAAACAAGGACATAATGGTCAGTTCGGCTTAGAAAAGATGAGGTGTAACAGTAAACCCTCGCGTTGATCTCCACAACCCTGTGCCACACCGAGTCTCTGATCATGTCCCTGATCCGGTCTGCCACTCCCAATTGAGTAAAGTGTACCGAGTTAAGGCATTTGCTCTCTCTTGTAGCCATCCCCTGGAAACACTAGAGATGCTCTCTGGAGAGGAATGGGATGGCTAAGAGGAAGTGGTGATCCACATGGGGCATTACTGCCCTCGATGTTCTCCTTTGGGGCTGCTGGGGTTGCGGATCAACCTCGTCCTCTGCCTGAGGTTCAGGGTCTGAATTTTGCTGGGGCTCGTCCTATCTCAGAGCTATCTCAAATGGGGGAGCTCATCAGTCCTTTCGCCGGTTCCTCATGAAGTACTGAATGAAGCACGAGAAGGGGGCCCATCTTTCTGGGGCATCAGAACCCTCTCCTTTGCAATTTCCCCTAAAAATCCAGAGTACAATTAAGTCATAGTGATAAGGCAGTTTCAGAAAACAAGGAGTTCTTCCCCCACACTTAGCAGAAAAAGTGTGCTAGAAGTCGAAAAGTGGGGGTCGAAAAATAAATTTCTGGGCAAAAACAGAGAGAAGAAAAACTATAGTGCCTTAGAATAAATTAAAATGAATGCATCTACAGTTTAAAAAGATCAGAAATTGAGCTCAAAGTGAGCTGAAAATGCGTATGAACAATGCACGGTAACATGTTCTCAAACTGCAGAATCAGGAAAATTATGCTCAAGAACCATCTACCTAAAAACTGCAATTGATGATGCTTGAGCCTAACCCGGGGTTTAGAAAAAATCATCATGGTAAGAATCAAGGATGCAATCAACAAAATCGGAAGGGGAGTGTGGTTCGGACAAATTATCGAGCACTTGGTGGGCAAAGTTTTCAAAATCCAAACAATCAACCGCACACAAATGCCCACCAAGGCCTCCGAATCCACACACCTTAACTAAAGCAAGCACAATCTGATTCCCATTCACCAAGCAATCAAAAAACTTTCACCATTTCCCAAAGCTTTGAACAAGAACTCGGTCCCCTCATTTTCTTCCCAAAGTCAGCGCCCCCAAGACGAGAAAACAGAAGAATTGGGCGAAAACTTATCTTGAGGAACTAGCAGACATGATTAAGAGCTCAAAAGCCGAATTAGGTGAAGAAGCGAAGAAATCGGACTTTGGGAGTGAAATTTCGAGTTCCCAGCCTCCAAGCTCGAGTTCTAGGTCAGGAAAATCAAAATTTTGGGGTAAAGGGGTTCTGGCCCGAGTAGCTCCCACGAACGTCCTTTTATGGACGCGGACAAGATCGTGGGATAGGGCAAAAGATCCTGGCCGCAATCTTTATCGAAATTTAGGTATTCACAGGGAAGGTAGGACAAGATCATGGTCGCGAAGAGCTGATCAGAGGCCACAATCTTTGCTCTGCCCAGGAAGAATCTAAAGCACAACTTGTCTAACTTATCGGTTTGGGCTCAATGAACGAGTATTAACGCTGCGAGGCAGGGCAAAAGTGGACAATCCTAGCATTGGTATATTGCGATGAAAAGTAATAAAGAGATTAAATGAAAAACTAAATATTTACAATAAAAATTTATTCTAAATAAGAGAGCCGCAAAAGAAAATAAATGCAAACCCATGTTGAGGTACTTCCCAACTAGGGTGTCTTTTAGGTCATTTCACCAAACCGTTGTCTTCAAGTCCTCCTTGAAGTTGAGGTTTTCATCGATTAAGTGGATTCTCAAGTCTCGATCGATTTCGCGATCATTCGGTGAAGGTTCATGTAGATAAGAATGCTTGAGACACCTCCAATGAAACCTCTCTTCAATTCTTCTTTGTTTCTCTTTGCCCCGAACCAAATCAAGCATTTTCGAAGGGTCATCACCGTATTCACCAAGAGGTATTAGTGGCGTCGTGGCCTCATCTTGGCAAAGAGAATCCGCAAAAGGATCCTTCTCTAAATGTCTATCAAGGTCGGGTGAAAAGCTTAAGGAGTAAGCGAACTCGTGGAAGCTTTATCCACTTCGACCTTGTCCATTGGTTGGACTTCAAATGCGTCTTCAACCTTCTCTCTTTCTTGTTCATTCAATTCTTCCCCACATTGAATATCAACTTCGTTCTCCTCCTTAAGTTCGTCTTCCACCACATCAAGGCTCTCTTGTAAATCCGCTCTTTGTTGATCGGGAGCTTTGATGTGTCTCCAAGCAAGTTCTTCAATAGATTGATCTTCAATGTCCTCTTTCTCGCCCACCGTGGAGACTTCGTCCTCTTCCTCGCTTTCCTATTCATCTTTATCGTCCAAGAGGTGTACTTGTTCGAGTCCCGAACAAATTTGTTCGATCTCTTTTTGTGTGGCTTCCCACCTCTTGCCGAATTCTCGTTGTTCATTGAGGAACTTTTGAAAGGAAGGGTTGGATGTCCCTATAGTCTCCACATTTTCCTCTTCGGCCTTCTTCTCTTCTTTGATGGGTAAGGTCGATTGTGAGCAAGTTGTGCACATACTGGCCCAACAACCTCTCATAGTCTTCCATTTTCCGGAGGGTCTCCTCCGATGCCCTTAGAAGAGATAATTCAATAGGGGTGGTTGTCGAAGATTCCACATTGGATCTCTCTTCGGTGTTTTGGATAAATTGTTCAACCAATAGCTCCAATTGGCTTTTGGGCTCCGATTGTGGAAGGAAGTTTTCGTGATATGATGATGAGGCTTGAAAGTCGGGGAAGTCTTCTTGATGCCCATAGAAAGGGATTGTTTCTTCATCTTCGGATCCTTGGCTAGAATCACTATTTGAAGCTTCAAGATAGCACCAATTCGGTGGTTGATGATCTCCCTGCTCCTTGTTCCACCAATATGGATCCATAACGGCACCTAAACACTATCTATATTCACAAAAACAAACTATGAAAGCGCAAGTGTGAAAAGAAAATAAATCAAAAGGTGAACAAACCATTAGGACAAGATGACCAAAGATAACAAAAGAAAGAATGATACGAGAAAGAAAATACGACATTACAAACACAAAACACAAGAAAAATGCGCCAAAATTTCAATGCTAGATAAACACAAAACACAACGCCAAACTTGGCACACAACAAAATATTATCTAGTATTTCTCAACTTTTCCAATTAACCTAAGATTTCCCCGACAATGTCGCCAAAAACTTGATCGTACTTTATTCGGGCCCAGTTGTACACATTTTACCACTCATTTCTTGTTCGTTTTGCTTAGTAGATCTCCAACCCTCGACCTATTTTACGCTAGGTTGTGCTTGTTTTGGTACATTTCAGGTCCTAGCACGCGTGGGAAGGTCCAGGACGAGTTCGGGTTATTCGGAGGTCAAAACGAGCCAAAAAGTGGAGGCTAAGCATTGTTCGCGAGCTGGAGCTTCAGTTCACGATCTCTAAGACCGTGAATTAACCAATTTCCAGCGCGGTTTGCGGTTTCACTGGACTCAAGTCAGTTCATGGTCTCTAAGACCGTGAACTGAAGTCTAAGACCGTGAACTCGGCCCTTTCGGGCAAATATAAAGACACCAGCGGGTAATCCCCGAGGGAGTCGATTCCATCAATCTCCTACGATATAGGGTTTCCCTAGGTTGAATAGAGCAAACCCCATTCATTGAGTCGATGTTCCTGGTCATTCTCGAAGGAGTCCATCTCCTAACGGTAGAGTATTTGAGTCGATTGAGCTAAGAGGATACTCAACAACAATCCAAAGGACAGAAATATGGGGATTTAACCCAAGAGAGCTCCCAAACCTTGTAAATAGCTAGGTTAGTGGTTAGTTGAGGTTAGTTAGTTTAGTTTTCATAATCACTATCCTAGGTTGGCTAGATAATGAACCCTAAAGCTGAAGTAGGGTAAGCCTAGATCCCCGTGGTATGATAAATTCTTATTGCTTGCTTGACCTATGCTACAACCGGTCGTCAGTTGTACTTGGTCGGCGATTGGGATGTTGTAGTTACTAGTTAGAACGAGTCAAGTTTTTGGCGCCGTTGCCGGGGAGCACATTCTAGGTTATTTGAAAGAGGTTTAGGTTGTTACTTTAACCGTTTTGTTTTCGTTTTGTGTTTGTTGACCCACTCTTTGCTTTGAAGGGTGGTTTATGTTTGTTTGATTTTCTTTTTGTATTTTTGTTGTTATGGTTGAATCATGAAACCTAATGGCTTCTACAACATGTGGGGGTATCTACAACCACCCAAATGGGGTATCCCGGAGCTTCATGGAGTGAGCAAGAAGGTGGAAGCCAAGGAACCGAATTCTATGATCAACCTCCCTTCCAAGAAGAACCATACCAATGGGGATATGAAGAGGCTTCCCCATATAAAGAATATTTTCCTCCACAAGTCGAGGAGAAATCCAAGTTGGAGTTGGCAATGGAAACTTTCATGGGACAATCCTCAAGACCTTTTGCCACTCCACAACCGAAGCTAAAGAGCCAATTGGAGCTCATGGCTGAGCGGTTTGCTCGAGGCACCGATGAAGAGTGCTCAAACTTGATCTCCCCCAACTCAAAGTGAATTCCAAGCTGGAGCTTGCCATGGAGAAATTTGAAAGAACAAGCTCCAACACGGATTTCCAACCTCTCCCTCCACCCGGTTTGACACTTGAAGAGAAGGTGACGCGAGCTTGTGCAAGTTACCGCCTCTCATCATTGGAAGAAAAAAGAAGAGGTTAAAGGAGATATCAATGACAACCATGTGGAGCAAGACGAACTCACCCCGGAGAGCTCCCACGGTGAGGATGAAGGTTGCATTGACGACTCTCATCACTTTCCCCTTCTCGAAAGAAACCTTGAAGACCAAGTCACGAGTGTGGAGGAGCAAGAGAATCCTTTCTATGATCTTGCATGGCATCTTACCCTCCTAACCGTACTTGAAGACATGAAAAGGAAAGAAGAAGAAGTGGTTGAAGAGGAGGAAGTGAGCATTAAAGAGACAGAAGATCTTGATTTTTCCCATGGGGAGGAAAGAATTGAAGAAGAAGGAAGGGAGGTTGAAGATGAAGTAGAAGGAGAAAATGGTGTCCACGATGTGAACGAGGTCGAGGTGGATGAAGCATCGACAAGTTACAAGTGCTATGAAAGCTTTCCATCCAAACTCGATGCACTTTTGGAAAATGACTCGTTTGCGGCTCTTTGCCAAGCCAAGGCCAAACCATCGACGAGCCCCCTTGGTGGATGAGATGGAAGTTAAGTGAGTTTTCACTACATGACATGGGGAAGAAGAAGGAGGAAGGAAAGAAGGAGAGGTCTCGTGGGTGGAGTCTCAAAATGATCCAAGTTCACGAGCCCTCAATCATGGATTCTTCCAATGCTCCTGACTTGAGACATCACCTCACCGACGAGAACCTCAACTTCAAGGAGGTTCTTGAGTGGACTGAAACTTGATGAGCAACCGTCCGACTCATGACGTTAAAGAAGCGCTTGGTGGGAGGAAACCCAACAATCAACAATTTGCATTTCTTTTCCCTTCAATAAGATGACCATTGGAGAGATTTGGTGGTGTTTTCCATCTCCTTTCTCTTTCGGATGTCACCCGCACTCCATTCCCGATCACCAACATTCACAACTTGTCCGGTAACATCGTTCTACCTCCTTCTTTTACGCCATTGAGGGTAATGTCGAGTTTAAGTGTGTGTGTGTGGTGGGGGGGGGGGGGGTAGTCTATTATGCTTGTGTGTGAATGATTGGTGTGATTTTGAGTGCTTGCAGCCTAGTTGTATGCCCAAATTTTTAAAAATTTGAGGGCTCCAAGCATAACAACTTCTACATATGCATGATCGTAGTGGCACTTGTGTTGTTTTGTTTTGAATCTCTTCGTTATTAGCATTGTCTATGGATGATTTGCTTGTGATGGTGTGCAACCTATTATGATGACTGAGACATGTATTAGGTTTGTGCATAGGTTCAGTTCTCATGTGTTTGTGAATCGATAGATGTTTTGAATCGATTACTTGCTTTTCAGAGTTGTCTATGCATCGAGTTTAGGGAGTTAGAACGAATAATTGAGCACCTAGGTAGCCATGTGAGACTTGTGCCGTTCGTTTTGTTCTTGTGCCATAGATCCCCCTTTACATGATGTGTAGCATTCACGTTGTTGCTAGCGAGGAAGATGGAGGCATATGATTAGTCCACGGCCCAAAAGTTGACCGACCCGATCATATTATCCCTTAGTTAACCCTTTTGAGTCGTGTGTGTAAGGGTCGCTCTCATGTTAGGTAGCTCTTGCTACTTGAGCTTAATTGATTTAGATAAAGCGACCCTACTTTCTTTGTGTCTACACCGCTATCGAGTCACCCTTATGTTTGGAAGCTCCATTCATACCATTTGAGCTTAAATGAGGTTCCACATGAGTGATTTGTGTATTGTTTTGCTAAGAATGAAAAAGTGAGTGTTGAAGGTAGTTTTTCAAAGCGAGCATTGTTCTTTAAGTTCAAAATTGTGGCATGTGTATATAGCTCTCTATAGCCCTCAAAGAAAAGAAGAAAAAAAGGAAAAAGAGAAAGAAATCAATAAAAGGGCAAAGAAGAAAAGAGAGTGGCCACCAAAAATATAATAAATGTTGGGCATGCTCTTAGAAGTGTTTCTTGGCATGCAAGCTATCGAAACACTTCCTTTTTTATGACCTCTACACTCTTGTGCTTGAATTAACTAGAAAATGTAGAAAGAAAGTAAGTGTGACATGGTTTGGTGATTGGTTGTGGTTTGGAATGGAGGGAAGTGTGGTTTTTGGCCGATGCTAGCGGCCATTGCTTGTAGAAGAAGGTTCTAGTCGAAACCATAAAACCTTATTTTGGTTTTAGGTTGAAGATGTGCAACATCATGTTATGTTTTCCACCACCCAAAGAAGTCTTTTCCCAAGGTCCTAGACCCTAGCCAGTCATTTGAACCCGTGTCTAAGACCTTTGGACAAGCTAGCAACGATACCCATCTTGTTTGCTATAGCATTTAGAGGCTACCGTCATGGTAAAGGGACGTTAGGATTGAGCGTGAATATGCACATATTTTACATCAAATGGTCCTGACCCCACTAGTCAAGTGTGAGTGATTCGTTCTTCATGCTTTTATTTGTATCTTGTACCCAGGAGAGGACCTAGGTTGCTCGATCGTTCGTTCCTATGATACGATCTTCATGCATGAGTGATTGTGATTAGTGAGTCGTCGAGGCATGTTGTGTGTTGGTTCGTGAATAATGTGAGAACTCTTCTTTTGCACAATCTTAATACAGTTGAATGTCGTTTGTGGTGGTTGCCAAGATTACCTTGTTTTTGTCCATAGGTCATTGCCAAAATAACCATTGTGATTCATTAGTTTTGTGCCCTATGAAATGCCCCAAAATAAAATTTTGTTGAAAAAGAAGTTGTAAGCTTACCTTGTTTTGTACTTGGTTTGCTTAAGGACAAGCAAACGTTCAAGTGTAGGGGTGTGATTTGGGCCCAATTGTACACATTTTATCTCTCATTTCTTGTTCATTTTGCTTAGTACATTTTATCCCTCAGGTCATTCGGAGGTCAAAACGAGCGAAAAAGTGGAGGTTGAGCACTATTCACGGGCTGTAGCTTCAGTTCACGGTATCTAAGACTGTGAACTGAAGTCCCAGACCGTGAACTAACCAATTCCAACGCGGTTTGCGGTTTCACTGGACTCAAATCAGTTCACGGCCTCTAAGACCGTGAACTAAAGCCTAAGACCGTGAACTCAGCCTTGTCGGGCAAATATAAAGAAAACAGTGGGGAGAGAGAAAGTAGAGCTGGTTTTTGGAGAGGAATTAGTTTCTCTCTAAGGCTTCGACCCTAAAAACCAAAGGGGAGTTCCAGAGAGAGTGAGTTATTGAGTGATCTTGGAGGTTAATTGAAAGCATTGATCAAGCTTGGAAGCAAGGAATCAAGCCTAGAAGAAGAAGATCTTGGGCTCCAATTTGTAATTTCTCTCTTCTCTTTCCAGAAACTCACCCTCTTCTCTTGGGTTTAAGAAACCTAGGTCTAGATTTTGTTTCATTGTTGATGTATGTGACAAATTCCATGTTTGATTGATGATTTTACATAATTGATGGATGCTTTCATGAAAGACATGAGTTTGGTTTCCATTTTCATGCATTAAGCTTTTGACCTAGGAGGGAGAGAATCCCCTTAGAGCCCATTCTTGGCATCTTTGGGTCACTCCTCATCCTATATCGTTCGGGTAATCCCCGAGGGAGTTGATTCCATCAATCTCCTACGATATAGGGTTGCCCTAGGTTGAATAGAGCATACCCCATTCATTGAGTCGGTGTTCCTGGTCATTCTCGAGGGAGTCCATCTCCTAATGGTAGAGTATTTGAGTCGATTGATCTAAGAGGATACTCAACAACAATCCAAAGGACAGAAATAAGGGGATTTAACCTAAGAGATCTCCCAAACCTTGTAAATAGCTAGGTTAGTGGTTAGTCTAGGTTAGTTAGTTTAGTTTTCCTAATTGCTATCCTAGGTTGGCTTGATAACGAACCCTAAAGCTGAAGTAGGGTAAGCCTAGATCCCCGTGGTACGATAAATTATTATTGCTTACTTACCCAATGCTACACCCGGTCGCCAATTGTACTTGGCCGGCGATTGGGATGTTGTAGTTAGAACGAGTCAGTGCTCCGGTGCGCGATCGAGTTTTAAATTTATAAACTCGAAGCACACTCTATTTAATCCTAACTAAGCCAAGCATAACCTAGCCAGGATTGTAGTAAAGTGGTTCGGTCGTATTCCAAGGGATCCCTAAGTGTATTATTACTTCGCTCCGAACTACTATATAATCGGGATGGAAGTTTGGTGAGGGGTGTTTGACTAAATTAACCTACTCCTAAGGTTAAATTAACAACCAACCAAGTGGTTGGGAGGACTCTTAGAGATAAGATGGTTGCCTAGGGTCGAATCCACCTAGCTAAGGTTGTAAAGTAGAGTTAATCGAATGTGGTGAGTGAGCTCTTGTTCGTGGGCCTTCGTCGTTAGCCACATGCCTCAGAGTACGCCTTCCCTAAACCCATGTTCCAGTCACCTCGATCTAGGCTACCGTATCTGGGGGGCATTAAGTATATGGCTCATTTCAATGGACACTATCCATCGTCCACACCGAGGTTTTATCCCGGGTTTCACCTAGAAAGTCACCTATAGCAGAGGTTTGGTCGCCTCGACCACTATAGACCCCCATTCACACATCAAACCTAAACTCGCCAAATGGCGCTTACCCGTCTAACCGTAGAACTCCGTACCCAGTGCGGTAGCATAAAGCAGGATAAAAGGGAAGACTGCGGCCAGTTGCCCAAGCGTCATCATTTAGGAAAGAGTGACATTAAAATCAACTAGGCAAACACATTCATTCATTCATTCATAACCCAAACATTCACAACCTACAACTAGGGTTCATCTACCCTCAACAACCACTAGAGATTCAAGTCATTAGAGAGAAGAAAGAAAAAAAGACAAACTAGAAGAGGAGAATGATGGAATCAAGCTTCTTCTCATTGCTTGCACCTTCTCCTTGCTCCTTGGGTTGAATGGATCTTCAATGAATCTCTCCCAAAGTGTTTCTCTCTCTAAAGCACTCCAAAACCCTAATTTTCTCACTCCAAGACGGCTCTCCCCTTTCACTTCAGTAACTCTTATATTTATAGGCTCTGAAAATCTCGGGCAAGTTTGCAGCCTGAAGACAGGAGATCACGACCGCGAACTACTACGTTGCGGCCGCGAACTACTACTTCACGGGCGCGATCTTTTTACTTGGTCAACATCCACGTTTCCTGCGAAGAGAGTGGGGAAACTCTCTGTTCTCCCAGCGCCGCCTCCTTCCAAAGTTTGTGGCCAATGTTCTCATCTTCGCGGTCATGATCTTCTCGCTTTGGCCCGCGATCTTCTAGAAGACTTCGCGGCCCATCTTCGCAGTCGAAAACTTGAGCCCTTCAGTTGAGATCTTTTCCTTGTCTGGGCTTGTCCTTGTTTCTACACATTTTTGCTCATTTTCTCCCAGATTTTGCTCGTAATGTCAAATGCATCCTAAAATTGTATAGAAATCGAAAAGGAACAAAAAGGGCATGCAAATGGAGCTTTGTAAAACAATTAAAGATCATTTTAACACAAAATTGTCTGATAAATGCAAGGTAAATAACACAATTTTGGTGTTATCAGTCTATCTCTTCAACTAAGTGGTCAACTACTTTTCAAGAAATCGGTCTACTAGTTTTACCAAAAGGTTTACCTCTTCTATCAAGTGATCCACTGCTTCTAACAGTCGGTCGACCTGATGAACCATTGTTAATGATATCATCATATGTGATAGAAGAGTCCAATGTTAATATATATTTTTGTTGATAAAAGAGTTAAAATTAGTACAATTGTGAAATTTCTCGAGTGATTGTTCTCCATAGATTTGGAAAATGTTATGCATATATATTTATTAGATTTGACTTACTCTATAGGGACTTGCATCTTTCCTTCAATTTTTAAGTTTGCTTGTTTTTATCCTATAGTTATCTTGTGATAGATCAACTTTGTTGCTATTCTTTTTATAAAGATACTTAAAAAGCAGAGTAATTATTATACAATTTTGTCATGTTCAACATCCATAAATCTAATATCACCTTGCTTTTATGAGTTTTTATTCTAGAAGTGTTAAAAGAGGGTATTATTTTTGTTGTCTATGTTTATAATATGCTTAGAGATTTTATTGGCCACGGGTGATAGGGCTTTGCATTACTACAAAACAATTTTATATCGTAGGCTTCTTATTTTTGATTATTTTCCTAATGTAAGTGGAATATAATTGTGTCATGTGGTTGACCGTTCGTGAGAGGTGGCAGACCGTTCTCTGAAAGAAATAGACCTTTTGATAGAAGCGGTCTACCTCTTCCAACAAGCGGGTGTAAGTTGAAAGTAAATGTGTCATCAGGTCGATCGCTAGTTGAAAGTGGTAAACCACTTCACTAAAATGGTGGACCACTTGATGGAAGCGGTGGACCATTTTCTTAAAAAGTGTTTGACCATTTTATGAAAAAAGTAGACCGTTCTCTTAAAATTTTATCAACCACTTTGTAAAACAGATAGACCATTTTCTCCATATCACAATGACTTTCAAATCCGCTATAACTAAAACTTATACAAATATTGCACAATGTATGCATCACAACTACTCATCTTGCGGGTATAAAAATTATCTGATTCTCGATCGGACAATTATGATGGAAAAGAAGCGTGCTTACACCTACTCTTTGATAACCAAGCCAAATTGATTGCCGTTACCTTCCAATCGTCTTAAACTCCTTGCCCAGCTGCCAATCTTGAATAATGCACCTAGTGGTGGTGATCACTGATTAGCATCTCCTTCCTTTCTGCATGCAAGTTATCTCATTGGTTAAGGAATGAAAAGGCAACTTGTTCAACACAAGGGAATTTAATACAAAGCATCTTATTCCAAACAACATTACAGACCAGCAATACCAACAAACATCCCCTAATCTATCTGTTCCATATTCTGATAAAATATCTTCCTGTGCAGAGAAGGCTTACCAGCAATCTCAGCTTTCCTTCATACCATACAGTTAGGTAAGAGAAGAAACTTTGCAAGAAAGAAAGCATCCAGCCATCCACTACTGCCATTCTGCCCTTCTCCAAGTCCTTTTTGCCCCTACACTAGATCCTGTTTCATATGAAATCTAATCGTTTCTTTTTCCATGGAATGAAGGCATCAATTCTTCCGGGGCCATTGTTTATGATTTGCTGTGTATCACAGTGTATGACTCTAACCTAACACCGATAAAAGAACATGGCTGGTCGAAAGATGAGAAACGTATTAGGGGATGGGTGGCGAGTGTTGAAATGAAATAGTCCAAAAGTAGCTGGAACATTGGAATTGATTCTGGTTGGACCAGAAAAGCGAAAGGGTTTGGCATTATGATAATCTTATTCCATCAGAAGAAGGTTTGGTTTCCCTTCAAGTTTTAATCAGGAGAAAGCAGTGATTTCCTTCACTAGTCCACTATGTCCTCTACTGGGCAGCAGTGGAAGACTGCTATTACTTCAAGAGAGCCGGAAAGACACCAAAATACTTGCTCAAATGGTGGAATCCAATTATCACCCGGATCGGATCAGATCGTTCTCTTTTCATCCTGCTTCCCTTTATTTTCACTTTCTGTCTTTCCTGCTCTTTCTTGGACGATAATCTATAGTACTTATTCCTTCTCTTTCTGTATTTTCATCTAAGCTCCTTTAGCCTAAGACGGTGCTCTTTCCAAATTACTAAAGCGATTGCGATTATCCAGTTCGAACCTTCGAGGACAATCCAAGGCCATCTACCAATCTTGAAAAGGGGACCTGGTGGTGGTGATCAGCATCTCCTTCCTTTTTCCATGAAAGATAAGACGGTACGGGATTGGTTAAGGAATGAAATGGAAACATGTTAAACAGACAGAGACCAAAGTACCAACAACAGCCATCCCATAATATATCTGTTCCAAGTCCTCATAAATATCTTCGGGTGCAGTGCAGACAAGGCACAACAGAAACTCATTCAATCTCAACCTTCCGTCAGACCAGTTAGGTCAACAGTATGAAACTTGGCAAGAAAGAAAGCATCTAGGCTCGAGCCACCCACTGCTGGCATTTTGCACTCTCTCCAAGTCCATTTTCCTACAACTGATTTCATGATGCACATCTGAAATCAATCATTCTTAGTCCAGGGAATTAAGGCGTAAATTCTACCTACCATTGTTTATGATTGGCAGGGGATAAATCTGAACTTTCACATTGTTGTGTATGATGTATCAGTCAATCAGTGTACGACTCTCTACAGAGAATCCCAAGGAACAAAAACAAAGTTTTCTCTGCGCTGTTTTATGCTGGTTTTGTTGTTTTCTCGTGTTCTTTACTTGAGGGTTTCAAGTGGAAAATGCCACTGAGTCCTCTGCTCTTGGCAAGCTGCTCGATTTCATCCAGTTTTTGTTTCAAAGACTCCAGTTCTTTTGCCAAGTCTTCATCTCTTTGCCTCATTTCCTAGCACGGTAAATAATAGAAAGCGTCTTAGTCAAGATAGCAATTCTTCAGCTTGAAGAACATAAAAAGCCTGGCATAGTTATCTCACTTAACCAGAAGATATCAATCAGTGGTTACAAAAGCAGATTGATTGAAATGTTGGGTAAGCATCAATCACGCAAGAGATCAAACCTAACACATAGAAGAAACATGGCAGGTTTAAGATCATAAAGACATTTGGGAATTGGAAGTGAGTGTTGCAATAGTCTAAAAGTAGCTGGACCATCGGAATTGATTCTGGTTGTACCAAAAAGGAAAAAGGGGTTGGAATTATGGTAATTTTATTCCTTCAGGACAATGTTTCCTTTCACATTAATCAATCACAAGCTGAACCCTGCTCTCCAGAAGAAATCAGCGATGGCCTTCACTAGTCCACCATGTCCTCTACAGAATAGTGAGATACTGCGATTACTTCACCAGAGCTGGAAAAGCACCAGTAGCCAAATGCTGGAATACAACTATCACAAGGATCAGATCGATCATTCCCTTTCCATACTTTCCTTTTATTTCGATTTCCTTCCTTTTCTATCTTTCCAACTCTTTCTTGATCGAGAATCTATAGCTATTCCTTCTGCTTTCTATATATTCATCTAGCTCATTTAGCCAAAGACGGTGCTCTTTTCAATTCACTATAGAGTTTTGATTATCCTGGTAGCCCTTCAAGGACAAATGACAAACAAACTTGACATCCCCATATGAGACAGATAATTTAACTCTTTTCATTTCCAACCATGAAGTACCAAGATAGTTTTGCATGCAGAAACATATAACTAAACTGAAAAGGTGGACGGACAAGTACGGAAATGAGGAAACTGATACAAATCGTATATAGTAATGTGCATTAGCCTAATAAAGAAAACAGAAGCATATTAATGTCGAACAAGTACCTCTAGTTCTTGCAACCTTGCTGCTTCTTTTCGAGCCTCTGATTTAGAACTTCTTTGTACCTCGAAGATCAGAACACCTACTCCTACCTAAGCAAGATAAAAAGACCGTTCATCAGAAACTTGTCCAAACAACCCATTTCAACATAGACTTCCATTACAAGGACCAAACCTGCAACACCATTAACAGCATAATCTCTACTTCCAACAGCAGATTGCAGCTACTAGTAGCTAAAGTTTACAGGTCTACAAGGACCACACTGAACCAGAACAAAGTGCTGGGAACATAGAGAAAGTCCCTTTTAGCTTCAATGATTAGAGGAGAATAAGACCATTGGTAGAAAGTCTGCAACTGGGGTTTCCCACACAAGTTCTCACACCATTAAACAAAGATATATATCTCACCCTTATGAAATAAGTTTTCCACAATCCCCTCCACATAAAAGCTTAATGGGACGGCAAACAGAGAGGCTGAAAGTATCTTTATTGTGCACAAAGTGAATACTATTCTACCCCTTGGCTGCTGACTGCTCTTGGGGAAACTCTACCAACTCAAACTGCTCCCTAATTCAACCCACATAGAGTTCCAGCTTAGCATTCATCAATTCACATGTCATACGAATCAAAGGTTTAAACCCACTAAAGTAAATGAAAAGTAAATTAGGGAAAATCGAAACAGAAGACCAACCGTGAAAACGAATAACTCGCCGATGAGATCGACGGCGGCCTGGACAGCTTTCTCCTCGTTCAACGGCCGAATCTCCGCATCGGTAGCGTGGCTGTAGATCCGCCGTTGCATCCTCGTCGAGATTCGGTGATTCAACTGATCCCCAAATTTCACGAAATTAAGCAAAAGGGGAAAATAAATTGAAGAAGAAATTGAAATGGCGGGTTCAACGCTAACCTGCGCCATGTTGATGATGATTTGGCGGAACTTAGGGTGGTAAGCAGCTTGCTGCTTGAGCTTACTAGCCAGCGGCTTGCTCAGCGTCTTGACTGCTAAGGTGCCGAGCTTTAGCAAGGGCAGCACCATTTCGACTTTTCGGTGACCCAATGGAAAGGAAAATCGGCTAATTGGAGAACATTTCTAGGTTAAGGCAGCGGAGTGAGATCGGAGATGGAGCTTCAGGTGGGTCGCGGGGTGCATTTGAAGAAGATATTGCTTGATGAAGAAGGAAGAAATGAGATGGGCGCGGCGCTGACAAAGAAGCACGGTGGCCGGAGAATAATAGTCAAATACAGAAATACTCAAATCTCCGGTTGAGCGTAATAGAATAATAAATTAATAATCGGATGGAAATGCGATTATGAGAAATTGAGAATGTAAGAAACTGATCCGGTGTGCCCGACGGCTCCGTTCACGGCGAGCCAGAAGATTCGGTGGCGGCGTGAGTGGAGATCAGCCTTAGTAGTTAAAGGACTGGGACGGAGGGTATCCTACCTCCCTTTAGCGAAAAGATTGAACTGTCTATGGGCAAGGCATGGCAATATCCAAATCTCATACATGAAGAACGGTTGTTTTCTAGTGAGATTTAAGAGTAAGCAGGACTATGAACTGGCGGCTTATGGATTGACCGTGGCTTCTGGGGATACGTACTTAATGGTCCATCATGGACGTTAGAAGTGAAATCTACCATTTTGTGGGTCCAGCTGCCAGACCTCCTGGTGGAATTTATTAACAAAGAAGCTGTAATGTTGATTGGTGGGATGATCGGCAGACCGGTCCGGGTAGATCGTGCAACGGAGGAGGGAGCTAGGGCAAAGTTCGCACAAGTCTGTGTGGAGGTCGACCTCACTAGACCCTTATTATCCCAATATAGGGTGGAAGGAATCAAGTACCTGATACACTACGAGGGCTTGGAAAACATTTGTGGGGACTGTGAAACATATGGGAAACCCAATCAGCCGTGTAAATGTTGAGAACCGGAGATAGAAGAGAAGGAGGAAGTCTTGATGGTACCGGAAACTCAAGAGGAAGACCCAACGAAAGGGTCAGACGTGGGAGATGGTTCGTCGATTGGCGGATTAGTGGGAAATACCTTAGCTGTGCGGAGGTGATTTTAATCAAGTTGTCTCGGTTGAGGAAAAGAATGGCGGGCGAGCTCCGGTTGAATCTGAGATGAGGGCCTTTAGTGACTGTATGCTGGATGTTCAACTGTTTGATATGGGGTACCTAGGCTATGAGTATACGTGGGAGAATCGGCGGTCGAGTGAGGGCAATATAGAGGAACGAGTCGACAGAGTTATAGCCTCAACAACGTGGCAAGAACGTTTCACTAAGGGGCACGTCCGTCAGTGGCGGACCCAGGATTATTGAAGAGGGGTGTCGCCGATAAAAATTATAATAATTAAGATAATGAAATAAAAATTTAATAAAATTACGGGAAATTTATTTATAAGTTCACAACCTCATGTTTACTACGAATTATGACGATTTTTCATATTTGAGATTTTTTTTAAATACATTCATCGTTTATGTTGCAAATCAAACCTTTTTCGATATACACAACTACATAATCATTCATAAATTAGTCACTCAACTAAAGAGAATCGACCTACGTCTAAAATCAAATTAAATTAATTTGCTACCAATCGGCCATTTTAGAAAAAACAAAGTATGCCTAAGTAATATCATTAGCATTTTTTCTCTAGTTCTATCAAATTAACCAAAATCAAACCACAATCTCCCATAAATATAGGCAATTCACCTATTAACTACAAATCAGTAAGTTAAATTGGATTGTGGGTTACTTAAAACAACCATGCTTATTTGATTTTACTTATTATTGTTAAATACTAATTATGACGAATAACTTTATAACATTAAAATTATTGTCATATAATGAAAGTGTGTCGCTTATAATTATTAGAGCGGTGTCGGAAGTTCCAAATTAAAAAATTTTGTACCGAAAAAATGGAGGTCCTTCACAAAATTTTCGAGCGGAGGGGTGTCGGACGACACCCCTCCCCTTGCCCTAGGTCCGCCCCTGACGTCCGTCATCTGGATAAGTGTCGGTCTGACCATCGACCGCTAGTGTGTGACACTATGGATGAAGACGATGATGAACCAACGTGGGGGTGGAACTTTAAATTCGAACCCTTCTAATAGCAATCGGTGATCGAGGAAGCTTGGGGGCTGGCGGGTCATGGAGATTTGATGTCCAAGCTGAATCTTTGTCGCGCCAAGCTGAGCGACTGGAGCCGGATTGAGTATACTAAATTTTCCAAGCAAAGGGAGAAAATCAGGCCCGCGGTGAGGGTCCTTGAACGTGGTCCCAAATCGGAACCAGTTCTCGCACGAATGAAACAGCTGGAAACAGAATTGGATGAGTTAGAGGAACGGGAAGAGGACTATTGGAAGCAGCGGTCACGAGCGGACTAGCTCAAGGAGATGATAAAAACTCGACTTTCTTCCATAAGAAAGCCACTGCCCGCAGAAAACGAAACACAATTCAGCAGGTCATGAAGGAAGATGGGAAGGAACACTTCTACTATGCTATAAAGTATTGGTACTTTAATGTACAACTTAAAGTTATACCATAACGTTAAATGTATAAGTTCAGGTTGTACCATAAAGGAATTTGTGCTCTTATGTTATGGTACAACTTTATAACTTAAACTTGTATTTGATGGTACAAGTTTAAGTTGTACCATAAAACAATTTGACAAAAGAGTATAGGTACAATCTGAAGTTGTACCATAACGTTAAAGGTACAACTTCAAGTTGTACCATAAAAGGAAAAACCTATAGCACCAATACTATATAGCATTGTAAAATTCCTCAGATGGGAAGATAATTACAAGCCACAAAGAGATCACAACATGTATGTTGAATTATTACCGAAATCTGTTTGAAGCGGGGATGCACCCACAGGAGACACCGATCCTGGATTCGGTACAACCTGTCATCACAGCGGAACAGAATGTGGAGTTATTATGTCCTTTTAGTCTGGAGGAAGTAGTTAGTGAGCTAAAATAGATGGGCAGCGTAAAGCGTCTGGTGCGGATGGGTTCTCTGTGCTGTTCTTTTGGAAGAACTGGAGTGTGGTGGGTGATGATGTGGTGGTGATGGTGACTAGCATTCTGGAGAGAGGAGAAATGGTGTCGAACCTTAACCATACGCTGATTACCTTAATTCCGAAGGTGATGTCTCCTTTGTCATATAAGGATTTCAGGCCAATTAGCTTGTGTAATGTGATCTACAAGCTGGTAGCCAAGGTACTAGCTATCGTCTAAAACCATTGTTAGATGGAGTGATATCGGAAGAGTAGAGTGCGTTCGTGCCAGGAAGGGTCATCACAGATAATATAATAGCAGCATTTGAGTGTTTTCACACAATGAAAAAGAACAAGCACGGGAAAACAGGTTACTTTGCAGCCAAGATCGATATGGCCAAAACGTACGACCGGGTGATATGGCATTTCTTGGAGGCCATGATGGCTCGGCTAGGTTTTGCATAGGAGTGGGTCCAGCTTATAATGATGTGCGTGAGAACGGTGACGTATTCAGTGCTTATCAATGGTCACCAGTCGGAGAGTTTCACACCTAGCAGAGTGCTCACGCAGGGGGATCCGCTATCGCCCTATCTCTTTCTTTTATGTGCCGAAGGCTTATCAGAAGCATGAAGAAGAGGTTGCAGGAGAAAAAGCTAAAAGGGCTGGAGCTAGCGCGGGGGGCCCCAACCGTGACCCACCTCTTTTTTGCTGATGATAGTGTTTTCTTTTGCAGAGCAACTGAAGGGGAGAGTATTACTCTTAAGAACATCCTTCGAGCATATGAGAAAGAGTCGAGACAAATGGTCAATTTCCACAAGTTGGAGATCTCCTTTAGCGAGAACGTCAAACCGCACCAAAAACTAACAATTGGAGGGGTCCTCGGGATGAAAATGGTTGATAAACATGACAAATACCTGGGGCTTCCGACGATGGTGGGGCGATCGAAGAAGGAGATATTTAATGGTTTGAAGGAGAGGGTGAGGCTAAATTTGAAGGGATGGAAGGACAAAACTCTTTCGATAGCAGGTAGGGAGACCTTGATCAAGTTAGTGGCGCAAGCTCAGCTTACCTACGCCATGTCTGTTTTGAATGTTTGATAACGATGTAATTGCACATGTTTGCGCCCCTAGTTCTTATCCGTTTGAGGGGCATAGTTGTGTGCGTTTGGCCTATTTTACGCCGGGTTGTGCTATTTTGTCATGTTTCAGGTCCCAGGTGTCAAAGGGAAGGCTAAGCGCGAGTTTCGGGGCATTCGGAAGTCATTTCGGTGAGCTGGAGCCAAAACACGGGCAGACCCAAGGCATTACACGGCCGTGTACTGCTGGCCGTGCTTTTTATGCCGAGAGCAAATTCGGTTTGGCAATTTCAGTTGCAAACACGGGCACCAAAGCACGGCCGTGTTCCACCAAAGCACGGCCGTGTCCAACGCGAAGCACGGCCGTGTTTCCACCAGCTGCTGGCCGTGTAATTAAGCCTGGCCGAGGCACGGGCGGAGTCAGGCAAAGCACGGCCGTGCCCTCGACCGTGCTTTGGCCACTGATGCTTTTAAGACTCAGTCAGCGAGAAACAAATGGGAAGATGGACAGTTCGACTATGGAACAACATCTCAAGACTCAAAAACACAATAAAAGGAAAAATGTAAGAAAATGCAAACCTCGGTGGGGTTGCCTCCCCACAAGCGCTTCTTTACCGTCTTTTAGTTGGACGCCAGTCGGTGGATGCTCAGTGAGGTGAATGAGCAGGTGCCTTCAAGAGCGGATCCACCTCGCTCTTGAGGTACAGCTTCAAATGGTGGCCATGCACACGCCGAATGTGGCCACCAGCATTTGCCAACTCAACTTGGCCATCCAGCAGGATGCAAGCGAGTGAATACTTGGATGGCCAAGGTGGGGGCGGGACCAACTCTTAGTGGTCTCCGGCTTTCTTTCGAGCAGGCTTAGTTGCCTGCTGTTTCGGCCGCCACTCCTCCCTGATTTGTTCCTTCGATGACGGAGTGGACAGGAGTGGCGGCGAAGGTATGGGAGGCGGATCCTGCAAAATAGGCAACACAGAAGAATACACGACAGACTCGTGCTCCTGGTGAGATACAGCATGCAAAGGCGAAGAAGCAGGGAGAGTATTAGTGATTGAAAATGTTATTCGCTCCTCACAATTCCTCAAAACTAAGGTCCCATCATGCACATCTATGAGGGCCTTGGCGGTGGCCAGGAAAGGCCTTCCCAGTATCAATGGCACATCCACATCCTCATTTATGTCCAAAATCACAAAATCAACAGGATAATTGAATTTGCCAACCTTAACCAGAAGGTATTCCACTATGCCCCTAGGATGCACTACAGATCGGTCAGCTAATTGAAGGTTCATCCTAGTAGCACGGGGTTCACCTAGGCCTAGTTTCTTAAACAGTTTATATGGCATAACATTGATACTTGCACCTAAATCCGCCAAGGACCTCTCTACATGCAAATTATCTATAGAGCACGGGATAGTAAAACTACCTGGGTCCTTCTGCTTCTGCGGAAGCTTGTTCTGCAGAATGGCCGAGCACTCCTCGCTGAGCTCCACAGTGGCCAGCTCGCTCACCTTCTGCTTCTTTGAGAGGAGATCCTTCAGGAACTTTGCATACTTAGGCATTTGAGAAAGTGCCTCCAGGAAGGGTACTTGGATATTAAGCTTCCTAAGCATGGCCATGAAGTTCCCGAACTCTGCATCTAGCCTGTCTTTGTGCAACCGAGTAGGGAAGGGGAGCTGAGGGATATGCTCCTTCACTACTGGTTGCGATTTAGGTGCAGGCACCTCAACCTCCTTCTCTTCTTCTTCTTCAGCTGCTGGAGATGCCGAGGCAGGGGCCTCTCTCTCTTGTGCCCGAGCAGGTGGATCAACAGTCATCTTGCCACTCCTGGTTATGATGGCATTGCAGTGCTTATTCGGGTTCTGAGGGTGAGGGATGGTCTGTCCGGGCAGAGCACTAGGAGCCCTTTGTGCCACTGCTTGAGCCACACTCCCCAGCTGGGTCTGGATATCCCGCAAAACAGTCTGTGTGTTCCTCTGGCCAGCTTCAAGAGCCAGGAACTTACCCGAGGCCTTTTCCATGAACTGCTCTATTGTGTTAAATTTTTGAGCACTAGAACTGGCGAGAGAACCCACCAATTCTCGTAGTTCAGCCATCTGATCATTCTGCACTAGGGTGGCAGGGGCTGCACCTGGCTGCTGGAAAGGTCGCGGCTGTGATGGAGCAGCATGCCTCTGCATGGGCTGGTAGAGAGATTGCTGCTGCTGGAATTGCCCCTGTCTGGGCTGATATGGTGGCCTCTGGAAGCCCGGTGGTCCCTGGGGGACTGGTGGTTTGGAATTTGCCCCACCCCAGGAAAAGTTGGGATGCTGGCGCCACCCCTCGTTGTAAGTGTTGCTGTAGGGGTCGTTGCGCCTGACATTATTGATGAAGTTCACCTGCTCCTGGGGTGTGGTCGATTCCTTCATCGCCTGGCAGTCTTCCACCATGTGATGGGTGCTCTCGCACCAATGGCAGAGCATAGCCTGCTGCTGTCCGGTCCCTGGAATCATCCCGGAACAATCGATAGCTGAAACCAGCTTCGATACCACCTGCACCAGATCAGAGGAATGGTTTCCCACCGAATGTACACCTCGGCTTGGTGCTCTCCTCGACCTCCTAGCAGTGCCCCAATCATACTCGTTCTCTGCCATCTCCTCAAAGAGTTGATTCAGCTGTGGCGGTGTTTTGGTCAGCATGTTCCCGCCACAAACTAAGTCAATCAACTGCTTGTCTTCTGGGAAAAGGGCGTGATAGAAGGTTCCCACCTTGAAAGCATCGTTGAAACCATGATTGGGACACCTCAGGAAGAGACTGTTGTATCTCTCCCAAGCATCCCGGATGGTCTCATCTTCATCCTGGGTGAAGTGGGTGATCTGCTTCTGCAAGTCCGCTGTCTTTGACGGAGGATGGTAGCGGGTAAGAAACTTGTCTGCCAGGTTGGCGAACGTGGTGATGGAGCCCGGAGGTCGAGTGTCTAGCCACTCCTTGGCCTGCCCCTCCAGGGTGAACGGGAAGTACCTCAACTGGATGGCATCTGCTGGGACCCCATTGATCTTGATTCCATCAATGAGCTCATGGAATCGCCTGAGATGTGATCGAGGGCACTCCCCCTCTTTGCCACGGAACACCACTGAACCGCGCATCATGGTGATTACTGAGGTACTCACCTCAAAATTATTGGCTGGGACATGAGGGTGTTGAATGGGTGACCTCATGTCTGTAACCCTTGCGGTCCAGTAGGATCCCATGGTCTGCTCCCCAGGATTGACCACATCATGGTCCTGTGGATCAGCCATCTCTTCTTCTTCAGTGATCTGTAGATGTGCTAGCGCCTCCTCCGCAGACAGTCGCGCCTTTAGAGCCCCTTGAAGTTCCTGTAGGTCCGTTCAAGCTCCTGGTCTAATGGTAGTAGATCTCCCGACTGGCTACGGGTCATGCACTACCTGCACACAATCAGCGGAAGCAACCCGTGAAGGCACACAGGTGGAAGAGATAAAATGCAGTAAATAAAAATCTAGAGTAACAAATTCTCACGTTTCCCCAATAACCTAGAGGGTCCCCGGCAACGGCGCCAAAAACTTGATGCTCTAAAACACAACACCTAACAATGGCCAAGTGTAACCAATGAAAGGGACTGCAGTATAGTGGCACAAGTAATAAATATCGAATCCACGGGTCTTTATAGTTACTATTACTCAGCTTCAGTTCATTATCTAGCAAACTAGATTAAGGATTGATTAACTAAACTACTCTACTAACTAAACTAAGTAAAACTACTAATTACAGTTTGGGAACTCACTTAGGTATGATTCCCCCTAGCTCCTCAATTACGTCCAAGTTGTAATTCGTTTTGGTTGTTTTACTGTTGATTAAACTGCGGAAGATCCGACAGTAGCCTGGAATCTCTTAAGCTGACCAAGCCCTCTCAGTCTAACTATCTGGCAGACGACTAGTCTTCACCTGGATAGAAAGCTGAAGCAATAAGCACAGAACTCCACTACTAGAATTGGATTCCAGTACAAAGCAGTAAACTGGCTAACTCTCGTATAGCCAATCTCCTACTACCTGACTCACTTCTACTGTCACTCCAGGAATTGGCCAAGTGAAACCACTTCCTAAAGCGTAGTATAGCGGGTTTAGGTTTAAATGTCAACCCGGGTCCTAGATTTGATGACTACTCAGTGAATTCTTGTTATCTAGCAATGAAACTTTAATGCAAGTCTAAACTAACAAACTAACAAAGCAAGTAAACGGTTGTATTCAGGTTAAGAGAGGTCACCCGGATATGGTTCCCCCTAGACTGCAGTTAAGCCGGATTGTAATTACCAAGTTCAGTTTCTATGATAGTTATACTGCGGAAGGTTCTTAAACAACCTGAAGTCTCGACTAAAGGTCTTCAGACCCTCTCAATCTGAATCTCTAGCGGGCGACTAACCTCCACCGGAGTAAACAGATTGAGGCCTTAACAAACAAAACCTCCACTACTGAAGTGAATCCGGTACAGAATAGTGAGTTGGCTCCTCGACTAAAGTCACCAACTCCCTACCTTCAATTAAGGATGCTCTATCAACCTAGGCAGATATTCTCATTCTAGGTTAAAGCAGAAACAACAGGAATTTGATCAGGATTCAAGTCATTCAATCATTCAAACCTCAATTGAACATAATCAAATCATAGAATCAGTACTTGGGTTCATACAATCAAAGCCTAACATACAAATCTAGGGTTCTCCATACCCAGATGAATGGGAGAACTACTCCATGGAGAAAGAAGCAAAAGCAGAATCAGACGCGGAATTCATACTGTGAAGGATGGATTCCTGCTCCTGGACGTTGATCGGCACTTCTCCAAGCTCAAACTGGCCTCCAATGGTGATGAAGATCAAGCTAGGGCACTTGGAGACTCTTGTTCGTCGCTTTCCCTCTCTAGGAATCGCTCTATCTCTCTCAAAACTCGAATCCCCCTTCTCTTTGGCTGAAAATATGCTTAAAAGGGCATCAGTGGCCAAAGCACGGTCGAGGGCACGGCCGTGTAATGCCTCAGCCCGCCCGTGCTTTGGCTAGGGTTAATTACACGGTCAGTGCATTGGGAGAAACACGGGCGTGTTTGATGATGGACACGGCCGTGCTTTGGTGGCCACGACCGTGCTTTGTCTAAGCCCTGCCCGTGTTTTTAGCCAATGTTTGCCAAACTCGAATTTTCTCTCGGCAGTAAAAGCATGGCCACAGAACACGGCCGTGTTCTGTTTTAGGTCTGCCCGTGTTTTGGCTCCAGCTCGACGAAATGACTTCCGAATGCCCTGAAACTCGTGCTTAGCCTTCCCTTTAACGCCTGGGACTTGAAATATGACAAAATAGCACAACCCGGCGTAAAATAGGCAAAAAATACATGACTATGCCCCTCAAACGGATAAGAACTAGGGGCGCAAATATGTGCAATTACATCGTTATCAAATTCCCCCACACTTAACCGTTTGCTTGTCCCCAAGCAAACCAAGTCAGACACAAGGTAAGCTCAAAACAACAAGGCATGACATATCGGCACAAAACACGTGGATCATACTGGCTTTCGATCAGTAACACATGGACAACTTTAATGACAACCTCGACAACCACCACAGATGACATTCGAATGCAGTAAAATCGAGCAAAGGAATAGTCTTCCTTCTGTTCACCCACCAACATAGACTTGACTCAACTACTTGTTCAAAACAGTCACGTCATGCACAAAGTTCAAGATATCAGAATTAAGACCGAGCAATCTAGGTCCTCACCGGGATAAAGAGTATAGGGAATAAGAGAAAATGAATCGCTCACTCTCGACCAGTGGGGTTAGGACAATATGATGCGAAAAATGCGCATGCTTAATCTCTCAATCCCTAACATCTCTTCATCATGAATGCAGCCTCTAAGTGCTAGAGTTCACATATGGGGTGTCATCACTAACTAATCCGGAGGTCTTAGACACAGGTTCAGATGACTGGCTAGGGTCTTGGACATGGGGAAAAGGCCTTTTAGGTGGTGGAGGTATTCATACAGCACAAGGTTCCACATTTCCAAACCCAATAGACTCACAATCAATTAAACCAATAACTTTCTTTCTGCTATTCTGCATTACTCAAGTTCAGAGCACAAGAGCGAAGGAGTTTACATAAATGCTAGTATTTCTAAGCCAGACTGCTAAGAAACACTACTACATGGGCATTATTCAGATTTTTGGTGGTGGCTCTCTTTTGCTTTCATTTTTTTCTTTGTTTTTCTTTCATTATTTTTCATTTCATAAGAGAACCACCGCCTCTGCACATTTTCAAACACCTGCCCCACTTTTAAGCACTACCTCCAACCCTCACATTACATTTAGCAGAAACAGCAGAGAACATGTAAAGATCACTCTGTGGAACCTTCTAAAAGATGCAAAGGGTGACTTTTCATTGAAGACCGAAAGAAAGAAAACACACGGCTCAAAGGGGCTGACTAGGGGTATGACACACCAGGACAGTCAATTTGGTCGTGGGCTAATCCTATGCCTCCATCATCTTAGCTAATGACAACGTGAATGCTGCACATCATAGAAGAGGAAACTATCGCACAAGAAAGAAACGAGCAGGCTCAAATCTCACATGGCTACCTATATGCTCTATCTCTCATTCTGATTCCCCGAACTAGATGCATAAATGACTGTCAAAAGAAAGTGATCAAACCAAGTCACATTTGGTGGGCAGACAGTTGAAAAACTGAACCCCTACACAATTCTACTGCACATTTCAGTCATCACAATAAGTTGTCTAAGTCACACTCAAGTTGTCATGTATCAAGTCAAAAGCCATTCAATTCACTAATCACATCCACAGTGCCAATACGATCAATCATCAAGCAAACAGCCGCGCTTGGAGCCCTCAAATCTCAAGATTTGGACAGTGGACTAGGCTCCAAGCACACATAAATACGTTCCAATTCATACAAAGAACCCCCCCCCCCCCCCCCCCCCCCCCCACACTTAAACGCGACAATGTCCTCAATGGAGCAGAGGGAAGGGGAACGATGTTACCTTGAAACAGTGCTCAGGAACGTTGACTGGAAGGCGGACCAGTCAAAAGAAGGGGGCACAGAGCTAGAGACAACAAAAACACACACTGGGTGATAGAAATCAGAGTACCGAGTCTACAATCCATGATAAAACAAAACAAAACAAAACAAAACAAAACCACAAAAGACGGAGTCTCAGTCCGGAAAACAAATAAAGCACAAAACCCGCTCTAGAAGGCATCACCACCATCGCCGGTGGGTGGAGGGTACTCATCCTCCAACCCTGGGGACTGCACGAACGGGTAGTGGACCGCGTTCGGGTCCAAGCCCAAGTAGGACATGATATAGTGCTGCCCCGACATGAGACGACGCCCTCGGTCCCGCTCACGATCAAGGCGGGTGTGGATGCGCTCCTGACCGGCCAGGATGCGCTCATTCTGCTGAGCGATCGCCGCCAACTGGTCGGAGATGGGCACCACCACTGGAGGAGGTGACCATGGAGAAGGAGACCAGGGAGCAGGAGAGGGGCTCGCGGGAGCCTGGGCACAACGGGGAGCGCGACGGGGAACTCGGCGCCCACCGACGGGGAACTCGGCGCCCACCAGCGGTGCTCGATTCGGCCTGGTCGCCCTCTGCAGGTATAGGTGGCTGAGGAAGACCCGCGATCCAGCGCACACGCCCGAGGCGAGCAACCAAGTGCTGGTGGCGGAGAGTAGGCTCGCCGAGTGGGGTTGGTCCGCGGACCAATGTCATCCCTGTGTAGTCCACCCCGTAGTTGCGGGCCAAGGCGGTGATCACCGGGCCACAAACGAGGCTGCGAGTCGTGCTGATGGCTGCCTTAGTGAACCTCCGGGCAAGCACAGAGCCCAGCTGGATGGTGTCCTCGGAACGACCCATCGCATGCATCAACTAGAGAGTCCGGAGTGTGACCCGGTTGGACGAGCCCTTGCTGGGTCTATAGGAAGTGCACATCAGGTGGTTGAGGATCCGCCATTCCGGACGGAGGAGAGCAGTCCGCGTCTGGCTGGCCACGTACTCTTCATCCACACTGTCCGGCAGGAAAATGCTCTGAAAGTACGCCTGGCAAGCGAAGTCGGTGGGATTGGAGAGGTCCAAGCGTAGGGGCGGCCCGCCTGCAGCCCGGGAATTGAGACGAAGTGCATTGGCGAACTCCCAGTAACTGAGGGAGTGCTCCACCCCGGGAGGGTGAACTGAAGTGCATCAGCATGGTCGGAGTTCCCCTTCGAGTTGTGGTGGAAGGTGGCGTAGAACTCCCAAACTAGCTCCTTGTAGGTCGGCTCGGCGAGGGTGAGAAGACGCCGCCAAGCCTGGGAGCGGACCACGGCCTCCATCTGTGGCCTGGCATGAAGCTCCTCGAACACCTCCCAATCGAGGTGAAAGTGCTCAGCGATGCTGCGGTCACGGAGGTTCCGCAGCTTATGGCGTTGGACGATGTTCATCTGGTCGAGATAAACCTCCATGATCCTGCAAAACACAATGAAGGACAAAGTGTACACAAGCAAACAGGGTCAATGTTAGGCCAAAACCACACCGGGAGCCCTCATATCGAAAGATATGGACAGTAGACTAGGCTCCCGGCGACACAAACATACCCATTATACGA